CAGAAACGTAACAGACTAAAAGACTGTAACTTTCTCAGCAGTTTTGTATTGGGCCTACCCTCATCTGGTGATTTAGACAACGCTTTAAACTTATTTGCTTATATAAAGGTCTTATGCTCATTGTGGGCCATAAAAACCAAACAGATGTCTAAAGGTCTTTTAAAAAACAGGGAGGTCTGTCCTACTGCTTTCCACGTACGTAAATGTGTAAGATTGAGTATGGCTCCTGCTGCATTTCTCTGCACGCGAATGTCAGCGCTCTTGGCCAGTCTGAGTAATGGTTTAATGGCGCCAGACTTGGCGATGGTCAGTTTGTTGTTGTCTGAAGTGGCAAGAGTAGTGATACAGCCACATGTGTTGCACTGAACTTCAAAATTTTTTGTTTCCAGGAGGCGAACCAATGCCCTGATGGCGCCACTGGTCAGGATCGTGGTCTTGTTGGACTCTAGAAAGAGAAAGCGTAAAAACTGATGAAAATGGCCGACCACAATTTGCATGCCAAATCTTATTGATGCTGTTACTGAACTGTTATAAGATGTAACAAAGTTGGTGTCAAGACCTCTTGTGGAAGACTTCTGGTCTCTGATGATGTAAGTGATACAGTATTCAGGAGGTCTGGCAATGATGTGTCTTCATAGTGACATTAACAGTCCACAAAATAAACCAAGAAAATGTGAATGTTTGTGAGAGAATTAGAGATAGATTGCATGGACACAGATTAAGATCGATCCACCTGGATCGACCTAACTCCCTGGGGGTTCACACTATATTGCTGTCAGCCGAGCACGTGCGGAAGTTAATTTCCCCCTTACAGCTTTTAGTAGGCAGGACAGACATTTAAGCCGGCTAAGCTGACAGTAATCTAGTGAGACTCCCCACAGGGATAGATTGATCTAAAATCTGTGGGAATGCAGTCATAGAGACAGAGAGATGAAAGTGAGACACCAGAGAGAGAGAGAGAGAGAGAGAGAGAGAGAGAGAGAGAGAGAGAGAGAGAGAGAGAGAGAGATCAAGCAATTCATTCAAAATATTGCTAGAAAAATAACTTTTTTAACATAAAAACACTAATGTATCTCCTCATCTAGAACCATGGACAATTAACACCTCTTATGCAACAGTCAGATTAACAGTTTTTTAAATCTTGCTAATAAATCATTTATAATGTGTTAATGAAAAGACAAGATACAATCAGTATTTTACCACCCAGACAGCTGATCTTACATTAACAAATGCTATATTAAGCACTTAAAAACACAAACAGCAGCTGCTGTTAAATCCAGATAATATGTTGATTCAGAATTAAGAAGGTGCTAATACAGTGGTTATTTATATATTCAGTAAAACCTTGTGAAAATTTTGATATATTGCTAAATTTAGTTAGGTGCAAAACACTGTGACTGAAGCCAGGGGGTCCCACAGGAAATGAAACTGTAGCTCTGTTCACAACCAAGTTGAGCCAGGCCTAGCTGAGCCAAGGCTACAATATGCAGGGATTGAATGCATGGGAGGGAGAGGATCCATAATCCATTAGGGGATTATGCAGCATGCTTTCAAGTGTAGTCCATATATGAGCAGCAGCTCAGCAAGGATGCAGCGCACATTGGTTGTGAACTAAGCCTCTGATAAGTGTTCTCCATGACCACCAAAAATTATGCACAACTTTTTGTTGCTTTCAGATAAGATAGATCACAAGACAGCAGAGCTGTCACATGTACAAACGTAAGGCAGAAAATAAATGTTGATAGTGCACAATTATGATAAGGTTTTCATCAATTTTGATATAATAAGACATAATGTATAGATAGGACAAGAAAAATGACAAGAAAAAGGAACAGAGAAAATACTGACCTGGTCCATTCAGGGCAAAGTTGCTGATGGCCAGAGAAGCTGCCCTCTGAACCTGGACGTCCTTGCACTGGAGTAGGTGGATCAGAGGCTCCAGCGTCTCTGAGGTCACTGCCTCCGTCACTGGAACAATAGCAATACATGAGCAGAGACAGCTGGAATTATTTCTTTCTCATATTTCTGATATTTCTTGTATTCAAGATTTGGTTGCTTAATGTTTTGCAAGGTGAATATGCATCTGGGTAATCTCAGCTGCATGGCAAACAATGGGATTGTATTAGTTGTGACAAAAGCAATTGAATTCCATGTCTACAATACAATATCTCAAATCTCATTTCATTTTGGGAACAATTCAAATTGAAATTGAAATTTTAACAGAAGCACTAACAGATTATTTTATGAGCACAATCAATGTCCAATGCCTCTGACATTGATTGTGCTCATAAAAAGTGTCATGGACTGTACTGCTAGTGTCACAAATGATGCCTCAGACCAGCAAATGTTAAGGACTGTATTACCAATATTACGGTCTGTACTGCCAATGTAAATGACAGTACTGCTTGTGTTACAAATGCCTTAGACTTGTGACTAATGTCACCTGATGTACTCACTTCTTTCGCTTATTTCTGCATAGCAGAGAGCAGCGGACTGTTGAAGCTCATCGTTGTCTGAAAAAGTTAGCACCCTCAGGGCTCTCAGCCTTTCTTCATTGATGGTGGGACTGTCCCCCAAATCTGTGAAAAAGAACATCCAGCTATTTATTCATTTTGTTCAATTTTATTTTATCGTTAAAATTATTTTTATAAAATGACAGACTAAAAAGTTCAAAAGTACAGAGTGAACTTCTGAATCAGTCACTTAATTAAAGAATTATTCAATAGAAGATCATCATTATGACAGTCATTTGAAATTTTTTGTCTCTCTCTCTCTCTCTCTCTCTCTCACACCCACATAACTTAAGTGCTATACTTGAGAGCCCTATTCTCATTCTATACATATCAGTCACATGAATTCTTCTCAGACACGACAAGCTTCACCAAAAAGTTATAACTCTCCACACATCTACTCTCTAAGCTCAAGATAAACTGCTCATTAACTACCACCATTAACAATGGGAGAGGCTATGATTTGTTTTGTTTTTTGTTTTGTTTTGTTTTTTTACTTTGATGGGTCAGATGGCAAGAGAAGATAAAACGTTAAAGAAAGATTAACCACGTTGAAAAAAAGGAAAATTACGGTTTAGGCTCTGACTAAAATAAAAGAAAGAATATTTGGGCTCTGTCAAAA